ATGGGACGCTCTTCTAATTAATATGGATCCTCACTGGCCTAGGGTCGTCATTGAGGTTCTGGCCTCCGCGCACTACACCTCTCCATGATAGGACGAGGCGCACGATTAGGGAAGGCTCTTCAAAGTGGTCACACCATCACTCCACCAATTGTGTTTTTCCGGTTTTGCAGCAACTCTCCGGAAAAATCAGAATTTACGGGAAGCCCAACAAGTTTTGCTAATGCATTTTAAGGGCAAAGGAGCGACCCGACGAGCCATGCCCTTGCCCCGCTAAATACAATTCATTTCAACAGAGTTTAGGAGAATGCCAATTATGCTGGCATCGTGTCAAGTTATTTCTAACGCTTTGCTGAGATTGGATGCTGATGAATTCATCATCCAGGTCCTCGGCGAAGTCGGGAACCCTCAGCGATTGCCAAAGTTTGTGGCGCATGTTGCCGTAACAGCGGTTGCCATACCATACTATACACGGCGTCAATATTGTCCATGTGTTACACCTTCCCGCCCTCGTCGACGATCACCAAAATGACATTTTAAAGATCGTGGTGGCGCCGAACGAAGACAGGTCCGATGTGACCGCAGCAGGTAAGATAATCACAGCCTCCTAAAAGCACTTATTATCAACTAAAAAATTCCGGCAAACTCTTCACAAATGTGCAAATGCACTTTCTCGGGACAAAAGAAAGGAAATCAATCTGAGAGACCAACGCCTGTGAAAATACTAAATAAATTTCTGGAGATAGCGCCACAACCCATGCACTTCCAGTGATTATTGCCCTATCAGCCTTGGGCAACGTCTTTTCGGCGACATTTACAAATTCGAAGAGGTAAGCGTCGTAAGCGTAGTGCTTCTTGACTAGTAATATATCATATTGTCACATAATACATATCAAATGACTGAACCAACGGCGGTGCGTAGTGAAGCAATATCTTGCCAAAAAAGGGTATGCTATTCCCACAATGACAATGAGTAAATAATTTCCAGCGGTACTAATTTCCTTGTCGCCCCGAAACAGTATACCATTTTCCCCGACTCCACGCCTCTTGACTTGCCTTCTAGGACACCGGGTAGCGGCGCTACTTCATTGGGTCCCCAAGTAGTGCTATCAGTCGGATATGCCTCCCTCTCTTGGATGGGATATCAAGCATCAAGAAGCGACAATTTGCCATCACGACACACACTTTCATCGCAAAACTACTCATTTGCTCCTGTGCCTGGCTTTTTGGTAATCCTCCTTTTTCTATTCCCTTCAGTGATCCTCAGCGTTCACTGCTGTCGATCCCCTGTTTTCCCAACATTTCCCGCAGACCTAGACCAGCCCATTCCACTACCATCTCACACTATCCACACTATTTTCTCCTTGCAAACACCCCTCTCCCCCCCCCCCCTGCCATTCCCCCCGGAGGCCGTGCCTTTGCCCCCATGCTGGCCCTTCC